CAAAAACAAAAACAAGCTATAGCATTCAGCTCATCTGGACTCAACTCCTCTGTGAAGCAAAATGCAAAGCAGATGAGTCGAGGCTTGAGCGTCACTCCTAGAGGTGGCAGCAACCTGGCTCAGCAGATTCTGAGAACTCTATTCATGCAATCCCAGAAGTGCCTGCATAATGGGACAGAGTCAACTCATTAATTTTGAAAGCTACTTGGGTTATCAATGAAACACTCTGGCTGACATTTTTTATGTCAGTCAACAAACTAGTGAAGAGTTATCATTGATGTTTGAAGTCATTCGTTGGAGCAGTTTCCTCTGATGGGCACATAGTGAATGTGAAGTTTCTGTCTCCAAAGTGAAGATTACAAAGACTGACCTGTGTTTGCATGTAGCTGCATATACAGTACCTACATACATCTATCCTTACATGTATTCACACATCACATTTTATATTCTTTTAATTTATATCCCTTCTCTCCATGTTCCAGACTTACCTTCCTGCCCATTTACCCCTACACTGGTGAAGAGCAGCTATCATTAGTGTGGTCACCATCCGTGATGAAGCCCTCTCTCCTGGCTGCTCTGTGTATGTCTTAGTGCTCTGCCATCCTTTTTTTTTAAATTAAATTTATATTTTTATATTACAGTTTATTCACTTTGTATCCCAGATGTAGCCCCTCCCTCATTCCCTCCCAATCGCACCCTCCCTCCCTCATTTCCTCTCAAATCCCTCTTCATGTCCACTGATAGGGGATGTCTTCCTCCCCTTCCATCTGATCCTAGCTTATCAGGTCTCATCAGGACTGGCTGCAATGTCCTCCTCTGTGGCCTGGCAAGGCTGCTCCTCCCTTGGGGGTGTGGAGGGTGGTTAAAGAGCCAGCCACTAAGTTCATGTCAGAGACAGTCCCTGTTCCCCTTACTAGGGAACCCACTTGGACACTGAGCTGCCATGGGCTACATCTGGACAGAGGGTCTAGGTTATATCCACACATGGTCCTTGGTTGGAGAATCAGTCTCAGAAAAGACCCCTGAGTCCAAATATTTTGGTTCTGTTGCTCTCCTTGTGGAGCTCATGTCCTCTCCAGATCTTACTTTCTTTACCTTCTTTCATATGATTCCCTGCACTCTTCCCAAAGTTTGGTTAGGAGTCTCAGCATCTGCTTTGATACACTGCTGGGTAGAGTCTTTGAGCGGCCATCTGTGGTAGACTCCTATCCTGTTTCCCGTTTTCTCCTTCTTCTAATGTCCATCTTGTTTGTCTTTCTGAGTGAGGATTGATCATCTTACACAGGGTCCTCCTTCTTGCTTAGCTTCTTTAGGTGTACCAATTTTTGTAGGTTTATCCTATATTATATGTCTAGTATCCACTTATAAGCGAGTATATACCATGTGTCTTTCTCTTTCTTCTGCCATCCTCTTCTATGTTCCTTTAGTTGACACAACCTTTTGGTCTTTGTGCATGTGCACACCCCTTCCTTGCTACCTAGAGCATCTTTCTCTACTCTGTGGACTTTACAGTGTGATTGAGGTCACCGCTTGAAGACCTTAAGGAAATATATCACATCTCATCCTTTGAACTAAAACCAGTTTTTAAAGAGACATGCCTGACTCCTCAGCTCAGATGTTGTGAATTCCTGATGGATCCTCCCTTGAAACATCACAAGTGCTAAATTGCCAAATATTTATTCCCATATTTGGATCACGTCCTTACAAGGACAAGGTTTATATCCTGGCCTCCTTCACTTTGCACTGTTCTTGTCTCAGTGAAATCTGCTACTTGCCTGAGTGAATTATTGGATGTTTATTATATCTGAGGAACTTCAGCCACATGCATGCATTTGTTTGTTTCCTCTTGAAACCTAGGTTGTTAGTTGTATCAGCTGGGATAGACATTTAAATGTTATGCTTTAGCAAATGACAGCTTGATTACTCAAATTAGATTCATGGAGGAGATATATACTTCATCCTCTTTGAAACTTAAATCCTAAAGCTCCCTTATCTGATGGCTCCTAATAGGCTTTGTAGAGTAAGAACAACATTCAGACAAGAATGAAGACAGAAAACTGCATGCTGCTTCTAGAAAGGGTTTCCCTCACCCTTTTCTCAAGGAAAATGTCGCAGGGGGGTCAAAGTGGCATGGGAAGACCTTTAAAACAACAAGAGGAAACTGCCCACAAACCCAAACTGTAAATACTGCTTTGACTTGATTCTGTGTGGGAAATACTACAAAGCGCCAAGCATTTTTGCCTAGCTCGTTCCATCAAACCCAGACTAGACAATTTTCTTAAATTGCAGAATTGATGCCTTTTACAATTGTATTCCATGGTGTCTTGGAGGCCATGGGAGAGATAATTTACATACTGATGGGCTGCCGTTTGCCAGGGACAGAATAGCAGGCAGATAAGGAGAAGAGGTTAAGGGCACGGGACCCTCTGGCAGAGGATCCATGCTGAGTTCCCAGCACCTACAGGGCGGCTCACAACCATCTTTAACTCCAGTTCCAGATGATTCAATGCTTCCTTGTGGCCTCCTAGGGCACTGAATGCACATGGAATATATTCAGGCACACACATGAACACATAAAATACAAATATACCTTTGAAAGGTAGTTATTTCCTTTTCCTTTCTTTAAGGAACATACAAAATTCCCTCTCAGCTCTATTCATGAACACATTTACTATTTGTGTGTGTGTGTGTGTGTGTGCGCGCGCACACATGTGCACACAGAATGGCACAGGTGTAGAGATCAGAGAACAGCTTTTGAAAGGAATTCTCTCTTGCCCTTCGGGGTAATAATTCAAAGAACAGGCTCCTCAAATGCATTTAATATGCAAATATTGCTAGTTTTCTGACTCAGAACTTCTCCAGGAAATCTCAGATTTACAAGATAGCTTTCCTTATAAATCTATTTTCAAATAAAAAGAATGAAACATTACTCAGTTGGCAAGTCTGGAAAATTAATAGTATTTTTTGGGTGTTGCTCACAGTGTTGCTATGGAGCTATTACACAGAATACGAAAGGCTGGTTTTCTTCTTGGCGAGGATGTAGGCTGAAAAGAGCTTGGGTTAGGAGCAGAAAAATGAGTTCAGGAGACAGTGCAGACCTCTTGACTCTCCGGTTTTCTCTAGGGTCCCTTATTCGTAGGAGAATTAAGACATCTCAGAGAAACAAAACTTTTGAGAACAAATTGAGGTTGCTTAGAATCCCTGAGAACTCAAATGAGTTTTGCTTTCACACGATAACACTGCAAAGAAAAGAAAATTGAAAAATTCCAGAATTTTACCAGAAAACCAACTAAGGAAATTCATTTTCAGAGAGGGTAGCAAGTCAGTGATGAGTACGAGAGGATGTAAGTCAGTGTTTTTCAGTATTTAAGCATTTCCCCCAGCTTTGCAATACAGCTATGGCGGGAAGGAATGGCAGAGAGGTGTGCTTTCTATATAGCCGAAGATGATGATAAGATATGGAGTAGATGAGTTACGCTTCAGAGACAAACATTGTGGTAATGACGGAGTGTATACACAGAGGATAACCAGCACTCAGGGGCTGAGGGCCAAAGCCAGTGATTCCCTGGAATTCCTGACACATATCTCTAGTCCCTCCATTTGGATTTTCTTGGGGGCAAGGCGAAACCAGAGGATCTGAGAATGAAATGATTTTACTGGACAGTTTCGGTCACAAAGGCAAAACAATAATAGAAAACCAAGCACCCGATCTGCAAATATGTCTGGTCCGTCTGCTCCTTTGTGGTTTGGGATGTGGCGCCAAGTTAGGGCTGGCTCTGCATGCCATTTCTGTAGACTCTTTCTCTTCGACCCTACTTGATCTCTCAGCAAACTGCACAAGACAGCTTTGACCTCTTCTGTTTCTGTCATTTGGCTTGTTTGGGTCCTTTTGGGATGAAATCATTCTTTTGTTCTGTTTGAAACTATTTTAGCTTGGCGTTCAAAGCCACCATGCATTAACTGCATCTGTCACTGAAAAACTGGCCCTGTTGCTTGTCTGCTATGAGGGGACATGAATGTAAGGGTACTGCCCTCCTCCTCTCTCCTTGCCACCCTCAGTAACCTGGAGAGCTGGCTCTGGGGTCATGAGAGCAGGAGAGCTAGTCCTGTCCCGTCACTGGCTGTAGCGCTCAGGAGAGTGGGCCCTGCACCTTGCCTGGGCAACACAGGGAAGCTGGCGCTGATGGTGAAGGCACACAGATGAGCAAGCCCCCGAGGGTGTGAGAACAGGAGAGCTGTCCCAGCCCCTCACGGGCCGTAGCGCATGGGAGAGCGGGCTCTGGACAGCACAGTGGAGCTGACTCTGGAGGCATGGGTGCAAGTGAGCCAGTCTGGTTCACCCACACTGCTGCCATCAGGACCGGCTCCACTAGGCTGCTTAAGCGAGGTACAGAGCCCACTGTCCCGAGTGCTGCAGGCAATGAGAGACAGGGTCAGCTCTCCAGATCTCGGCATCCAGGGAGGGGTGCGGTCAGTTCTGCACACCCCCTTGGACATCCAGGTGGTCTCTAGCGGCTGCCCTAACCAGGGACATCTTTGTGTTCTGTAGTGGTAATTTGAGCCACCAACATCAGCACCAACCTCTGTCACCACGTAGCCACGGACTCAGGTACGACCCTCAGTGGCAGCTCAGGCTGAGGCCTCACCATGGTCTCAGGTAGCAGGGCTGGCCACTCACAACAGGCTTTTTCTCTGCACCCTCCGGTCTCTAGTTCCATCTCTCTTCGTAATGTTCAAGCTGCTCCACTTCTTCTCTCCCATCTGACCACGACATAGACATACATTGTGGTAGCTCCAGCTCCAAGCTAGCCACATAGCTGGTGGGCCCCTAGGTGACATTCTCCATCCATGCTGTGTGACGTATTGGCAAGCAAGGGGTCTATGGCCTGCCCGGGCTATGCCCTGGAGGGCAGGTCTGTGGGTGGCATGGCAGTCTATAGGTCTCTTGTCTGTCGTCTTCTTTCTGCGCTGTGTTGCCTGGACTTAATTTGATTTGATTTTTATGAGTCCTAGGCATAAAACAGCTTTGCCCATCAAGCTAGGCATCAAGCTAGGATGAACAAAAGTCTGCCATTTGCTCTGTCCCTGACTGATAGAAGAACACCGTCCAGAAGGTGTCTCTTTGCCCCTTGCCAGGGGGTGGACAACACTATTCTTATTCAATGATTTAACATTCTAAAGTTCTAATGCTCTGTTGTGACTTGAGGTTTCTAAAAGAAAACCATTCTTGGCAAGGAGAGGGGCAGTCAGTACGGGGAACCAAATGCAGAGCTTCAGGAGTAGGTATGTGCTGTTACACTGAGCTACAGCTCAACCCTAAAAACCACTTTACCACAAGAGACTTCATCTGAGTGTGACTTGGTTGTCGCTGCTGTTGTACACTCTTCTCCTGATGGGCCCGGCTTCCATGGAGAGCACTATGAGGCCTAGGGAGTATTCTAGACCGGTGCTGGCACCTTATACTGCTACTTAATGGGGAACTGGGTAACACCCACCCCCTTCTGTATTCTCCTCCTTTAAATGACATCTCCCAGGTGTAAATGCAATAGATCAGACCTATGTGTGTCCCATCAAGAGCTGAAGGGAGCCCTGTCCACGGGAGCAGCCTCAGGACATAATGTACAGGAAATTAGAGGAGAAACCCTACACACTGTCCAGTAACCAGGCACATAAGAACTTCCCACTGTGGTTACACTGATGGGATGTTCTAGTATGTGGAAAAACCACATTCCGCACAACCTAGGAGTCCTCATTGCTTCTGAGCTCAGAGTAAAGATGGCTAATGTCAGGCTTGATCCTCCTCTGCATTTGGAAACATGCTATACTCAACTTCCCTCCTACTTCTCCTCCCATTCCCAACAGTCCCATCCCCCCTCCTTTTCTCTCTCTTTTCCCCTTCTGAAATGACAAGAGCCAACCAACCATGTTATATGGGCAGATACACTACAAAGCAGAGATCCAACCAACCTCATTACGTGAGCAGACACACTACTCTACAATCAAGAGATTTCTGCCCAAATCCTGGTGTGGAGACAGCCATGTCCTGAAGTCCAGCTCTGACCACCGATGCCTGCTCAGTATCTGAGAAGTGGAGGAGAGAACAGCCTTTCTGTTGAGACTTTCGGGAGAGCTGTGTCGAGCCGTGCTCACTTATCTTTGTTCTTTTTAAAGAAAAAGAAGTCACTGAATCAAATGCTTGCCAGTCTTTTTTATAATCATGCACGCATACAGATTATATACACAGAGAAGTAGGTCAAGGATTTTGAACATGCCGTTAGGAACCATAAGAAAGAGTTTGTGCCAAGGCTGGATTCAGCTAGGGCAGAAAGCTTGCTAGTCTCAGGTTAGTTACATAGGCACCTTTCCTGCCCAACTTTATTAAACATATGACTGTTTAGCTGGCTGTGACGTGTTTTTTTTTTTCAAAACTAAGAGAAATGACACTCAGGATAAGGTACTGCATTGTTTTTCACATATTGATATCACCTGAAAAATCTCCTTCTCAGTAATAAAAATGGTTAGATATTCACTCCCTCCCAGGGTGGGAGGAGAGAGGGAATACCCAAAAGCAAATGCAGGGAGTGCAAAGGCAAAGAGAAAAGAAGATTGTGAGCTGGGACAGGGAAGCCACCCTCGGGAGGAGGTGGGGCAGGATTGAGTGAGCTGGTGAGCAGTGCCATCCTCTCCTGGAGTGAGTCTGTACATTCCTCTTCATCCAAAGACTCATCCTTCCCCCGCTCCTTTCTGTTTCTCCCTTCCTGCTATCTCCACCATTCTTGTGTTGGTGTGCTTAACAGTAACCCACATTTCTGTGAAGCTGTTCGTTTTCCCTCTTCTCATCATCGTCATTGTCATCATCATCCTCATCTTCATCCTTGTTATCCTGGTCCTCACCTCCCACCTGCCCTTTGGCCTTGCTTTTCTTCAGATTCTATTACTACTGTTGATTTCTCTGCAATGTTGATGGCTCATTCTCCCAACTCATATACATTATTGAATTTTTCAATATTTCATTTTCTTTCTCTGTGTGTGTATGTATGTATAGCTAGGTCAGAATATGGTACTAACAAGCAAATCAAGGTCCTCATGTATATAGGCAAAACTTCATCAATGAATCATGTCCCAGATCCCTATATTTGTGCTTTTCTTTTCAAAAATAACTTGTTTTATGTGTATGGGTATTTTGTCTGTATGTATGTGTCTGTATACATATACATACATATGTATATATACATATAAACATAACACACACATATATATACATACATACGCACATATACGTATATATATTCTGATGAATGGTGCTAGTGGCCCATTCTTGGAGAGGGAAATTGTAGCCTTAGTCTAGAGGCTAAGGAGAGTGAGACACCATCTTTTCTCCTGTGTCCACTGGACTCATTCTCTGAACAACTGAAACTAAAAATAAGAATGGAGTGATGGGGATAGTCATGACTCAAATACTAAGGTAGTCATTCCAAGATTCAGTAATTACATTCAATAGTTTCCACTTGTTCTTTACTCTTGAAGATATATATGTATGTGTGTCTCTCTCTATATATATATGCAAAACACTCATGCACAGACAAATCATATATATATATATATGTACTGAATACACACACACATAAACATACATATGTGTATGATGTGTGTGTGGTGTAGTGTATATGCATGCCTGCTGCTGGCAGAGGCCACAAGAAGACATTGGATCCCCTGGAACTGGATTTATAATGAGTTGTAAGCTGCCACATAGGTGCTACGAACCAAATCCGGGTATTCTGCAAGAGCAACAAATCTTCTTAACCACTGCACTATTTCTCTAGCCTCCATTTGTGGTTTTCAATATCAGAATTTCTACTTGGTTCTTCCTGAGCAAATGGCTGCTCTGGTGTGTGCATTCGTGTGTGTGTGTGTGTGTGTGTGTGTGTGTGTGTGTGTGTGCTTGCATGCATGTGTGTGTTCAGGAGCTCCAGGAAAACAAAATGCATAGGGATCTGTGCATGTGGAAAGTCTTAGTTCACAGGAGCTGAGAAGCCCTACAACCTACCACCTGCACAAAAGTTCAAGAAAGCTGGTAGGATTATGATTATGGTCTTAAATCAAAGGCCTGGGGACCACAGTGTTGATGTCTGAATGAGGAAAAGGCAAAAAGAACAAAGGGGTCTTCCCTGCCTCTCCATTCTGTCAATCCTCCACAGGAAGGGTGATGCTCACTCACACTAGGGAAGGAGACCTTCACTGTCCTGTTCCAAGAGATAATCTCCAAAACACACACTAGGATTGATGCTATTTTAAGCTGAGTGTCACCTAGCCTAGTCATGTTAACACATATGAAACTGATCACTAGGATATCTATATAGTACTCTCTCTGTTGAACCCTCATTATTAAACCTTCCTTTAATTCTTTCAACACGATTTCCTTCGGTTCCTGGATCACGTTTGATAGCTGCTTTGCCATCTTTTGTTTTATTCAGAAGTGTGTTTTGCTGCTTTCTCTGTATATGAGTTACACATTTTTATCTCTTTGCATGTCTGATCATTTTTTTAAAAATATTGGACATCTTAGCTAACCGAGCACCAGAGTATTGATCTGGTGACATTTCTAAGTCTTTGGAATATACTGCCTCTGATGTCTTGCTCAGGTTTTTCTTCTTCTTTTCACCTGTTGCTCTGCCTCCCAGGGATCACCTCTGGGTATTCACAAAGCTGCTCTTTGTCAAAGCCCACAAGGAAGCCTTTCCTAGCCACCCCTCAGCCTAATCTTGCACAGACTCCTTGTGTGTGTGTGAAGAGCAGTTTCACATTTAAGGGAACTCACAGAGGCACTGTACTTTCATCTAGAGCTGGATCCCGGCTCTTTCCAGCCCTTGTCAGGTGGCACACTGCTGCTTACCCATATACACTCCAGGTACACTAAGATGACAGTGGGTTTCTTTTGTAACTCTAGAAGTTACCTTTCAAGTAGGGTTTCGGCAGAAGTCAGGTTAAGCCTTTTGCTCCATAAGGCTCAGGCGCCTTTGCTGATAGACTGATGGTTCACGTAGCTCCCTTGTTCCTGAGTGGGTACAGCCAGGAGCACTTACACACAGCCTCACAGATCCCCAGGGGTAACATTTTCTTTTTTAACTGTTCTTGGCCGACCTGACTGTCTCTGTTCATCTGTTGGATGTTGTGCTCTGCAAACATGGAGCGACAAGTCCTCACTCAATCACTACTCCACAATATTGTCATTGCTTTTGACAGTAATTGTAAATAGGAACTACTCAATCTTCAGACAGAATTGTGGCGCTCTTTATTCTTATCATGTATATCTTGCCCTGAAAAGGGACTTCGGAGCTTCTGTATCAGAGTAGGGAGTGGGACAACTCTCCATTGCTAACTGTGCACTACTCCTACTTTCTCAGTACAGCCAGCGAGACAGGGTGATCTTGCCACTTCCGCTTACATCACAGTGTAGAAACTGCTCCCTATGCACAGGCCACGGTGGACGCCATCAGCACTCAGCTTACATCACCCGGGCCTGAACCCTCACCCTGTGAGAGTGTGAGCTGGGATGACTGAGAAAGATATCCTGGCTCCCACGACTGTGCCTACTCAGAACAGAGTTTTTACAATATGAGTCTGTGACTGATGGATGGTGCTAGTGGCCTGTTCTTAGAGAGGGAAATTGTAGCCTTAGTCTAAAGGGTAAGGAGAGCGAGATACCATCTTTTCTCCTGTGTCCTCTGGATGCATTCTCTGGTCAACTGGAACTAGAATAAGGTGAGGATAGTCATGACTCAAATGCTAAAGTATTCCTACCAAAGTTTAGTAATTAGGTTACATAGTTTCCACTTGTTGTTTACTATGGGAGAAATGTCCAGGATATAAAATGGTTATTTTTGTTTTGTTTTTATATTTCATACCAATTAAATTTTTTCTGGAGACCATCCACTTACCCTTATGTTGCCCTTGGCCAAGTCTTAGTCAGTGAAGTATTACAATTTTGAAATTCGAAGCTAAGTGAATTGGCATCCAGGAAACATACTGTCAGCTTCCATAAATACAAAAGGAATGAAAAAAACTCTAGAAGATTCTGAAACGATAAACACTTATCAGTTAAATACAGTATTTTACAAGTAACTATAACCAGCTTGATGGG